TCATGTCTGTTAATGTTCAAGTTCACTCCAGATCAATCCAAACGTCTGGACATCTGCCGTGAAAATACCGATAAAACAGCGTGGCCGAATTTGTGCTACCTGGTTCAGAGATTGAACTGAGTTCTCTTAGTTGCGCCAGTCTTTCCCAAACTGTGCGGCCCGCCTCATAGATGTTGCGGAAGAGGATAGCAGGTGAGGCAGAAGATGATAGCAGGCGAGGCGGAAGTGGATAGCAGGTGAGGCGGAATGATTGAAAGACAATCAAAGATTTAGAAATAGTTTTAAAAAATTCATCTGCGAAAAATAAATATGATTTCAAAATTTAAAATCTTATTATGGATTACTTGTAATTTCATTCATGAGTCCCAGTATAAATAGTCATAAATAATTATTGACCAATTTTATTGTGATATTTTTGCATTATATCAACTATCAAGAATACAGTAACGAGGCTCCGCAAATTGGAGGAGAGAGTTATCAATGATAATGTTCTGACTTCGACTCAGTGGTTATCTCCCTTTAACCTTCCCTCTATTTTTTATTCTTAAATTTACTTTGTATCACATAAAATTTGGTAAGGATAGAGCAAATTTTAATTCCGAAAATGTGGCACAGAGAAAAAAGTTTCGGAATCAGCCTTAGGCAGTACAAAAAAACTAAAAAACAAAAAATAAAAAAAATCTATTCAAAATGAGGACTAGATGAGATATCCCTAGACATGGACAACGTAACAAGGAGAATCTACCCTTGTAGACTGAATAAAGTGTTAAGTTCAAAATTCTCTGAACGTACCTGTTACAATTTGGTAAGTGTTTTCGTAATAATAACGACAACGCTGTTTCGTCTGGTTACTTCTTTGCCGGCAGAAGTGATACTCTTGCTTTTTATTCACACATAACAATATGGCCGATACGGTACTTCCGTGTCGGAACAATGGCTTCCGTTTCCTTAGTTCCCGGTTACAACAGTTACTCAGTTTGACAAACACCTGAAGAAGGCCGTAGGGCACAACAGCCGAAACGTTTTGATAGCATCAATAAAGATATGAATGTTAGACCGATTGTAAATGATGGCGTAACGTAATTATATTATTTTATTTCTCCCCCCCCTTCATCTTGTATTTTTTTCTGCATTCAGCTAGGGTTCTTCTGGTAGTACTAGGATATCAGTACTATTGGTACTATTGTGTATTAGTATTAGAATAACAAACTTTCAAATTCGGGTTTCAGATTATAGATTTCTGAAGGAAAAAAAAATATTACCAAAAATAGATTTTTGAAGGGAAAAAATGTTGCTAGAAATAGATTTTTGAAGGAAAAAAATATTGCTAGAAATAGATTTTTGAAGGAAAAAAATATTGCTAGAAATAGATTTTTGAAGGAAAAAAATATTGCTAGAAATAGATTTTTGAAGGAAAAAAAAATATTACCAGAAACAGATTTTTGAAGGGAAAAGAAATATTACCAGAAATAGATTTTTGAAGAGAAAAAATATTGCTAGAAATAGATTTTTGAAGGAAAAAAAAATATTACCAGAAACAGATTTTTGAAGGGAAAAGAAATATTACCAGAAATAGATTTTTGAAGAGAAAAAATATTGCTAGAAATAGATTTTTGAAGGAAAAAAAAATATTACCAGAAACAGATTTTTGAAGGGAAAAGAAATATTACCAGAAATAGATTTTTGAAGAGAAAAAATATTGCTAGCAATAGATTTTTGAAGGAAAAAAATATTTCTAGAAATAGATTTTTGAAGGGAAAAATATTTCCAGAAATAGATGTGGGTGTTTTGCTACTATGTAAGTGGCATGGCGTGTTCTTGCCGTGAAGATTTGAATAGGCCTGATGTGGTTTGCCCGAGCACTTTCCGTCGGTAGAGCAGAGAGAGGGTTGCCGTACCCCACCTGTGAAAGAGATGTTGAAGGGTGGAGAATAATTCGTCACCCACAAGGGCTCGAAGACGCTTTTGAACTCTATCAGGACTGGAGAGTGAGGTCTGGGTAGCACCCGCCCAATTATGACGATATTTATGGCCACATCTTGGTCTTGTAAAGTTAGAGGATAGAACGTGGAGTCAGGTACTTACTGGAGATGTATAGGGAGCTGGCCATTTTACCTACAGAAGGATAGTGAAGGAAGGCGAGAAGAAAGGACTAAACATCAGTTGCAAGAAGATCGAATGCATGGTTGGTTGCAGAAGTTTAAGACCAAAGTACGAATTTCAAATCAGAGATACCAAAATCTTGCTTTTCTTGCCTTCAGTAGTTCCTCTGAGTGTTTGATTTTCCGTGCCTTCTTTCCTCACTATGCGTCACAGAAAATTTCTGCTGTCTCTTTTTTATTGTAAATATTCGTTTCCTTGTAGTTACTATATTCCTTAAAACTTCCTGTTTATTAAGAGTTATAAGAGGAAGGAAGATGTGGAGAGCCGTGAACGCTTACATCAAGAAGAAAAATTATTTGCTGTGAGTGTTTGATTCTCCACGCCTTCTTTCCTCATTTATGTGTCACAGAAATTTCTGCTGTATCTTTCTGATTGTATCAGTTTCGTTGTAGAGTCTGTATTTCTTCCTTGTTGCTCACATGATCTATTTATATTATTCCCAGCATTCATTGGTAGAATGCCTGTCGCTTCAAGTCTCTTTTTCATCTCTGAGGAGATTGTCCAGCATTCACTGCCATATGCGGGTTAGATATTACATAGCAGTTCAGCACTCTTTTTTTGTTTAAAAAAAGAGACACTTCTTGTCAGAATTTCTGGGAAGAGGAGTTATCATTATTTACACTATTTATATTCGGACTATTGTCCTTATTTTTGTTGTTTTTATCACAACGTTTCGGTTGGGCTTTAAATAAAGGGTTCAGTTCAGAATTCCCAGTAGAGCATCCAGATCGATGTACGCCTGATGAAGGCCGGAGGAAAGTAAAACGAAAATGAAAAAAAAAAGAACGAAAATGAAAGAAAGAAAAAACAAAACAAAGAAAAGACAAGAGAACGAAAAGAAAGAAAAAGAAAAAAGAAAAACGAAAGGGAAAGAAAGAACGAGAAGGAAAGAAAAGGAAATGAAGAAAGAAAAGAAAAAGAAAGAACGAAAAGGAAAGAAGGAAAGAAAGAAAGAAAAAGGAAGAAAGAAAAGGAAAGAAGGAAATAAAAGGAAATGAAGAAAGAATAGGAAAACAAAAAACGAAAAGGAAAGAAAGAAAGAAAGAAAGAAGGGGAAAGGAAGAAAGAAAAGAAAAAGAAAGAACGAAAAGGAAAAGGAAGAAAGAAAAGGAACGGAGAAAAAAGTAAAAAAGTAAATAAGAATAAATAAATAAGAAAGGAAAGAAAAGAAGAAAGAAAAGAAAGAAAAATGGAAAGAAGAAAGAAAAAAAGAAAGAAAATAAGAAAGAAAAGGAAAGGAAGAAAGAAAAGGAAAGGAAGAAAGAAAAGGAAAAAAACGAAAAGGAAAAAGGAACGAAATGGAAAGTGTAGTGTAGTGTTACTGACTCGCGGACGTAGTATGCACTCATCTGCCTCATGGGTTATAGCCGTAGCTATTTATAGTCTTTGTGACTTCCTATGTTAATGAGTCACCAAAGAAAAGAAGACGAAAAGAAAGAACGAAACGATAAACTAAAAGGATAAAAAAAGAACGAAAATCAAATTAGATAAGCACGAAGCAATGAAAAATAACAAAAAAAAATGGAAAAGAAGAAAATAAAATAAAAATGGATTTGGGAACAAAGAAGAAAGGAAGAAGAAAGAAGAGAAAAGTACGAAAGAAATTATCTTAAAGACAAAGTAAAATGAAAAGAGAAATGAATAAAAATAAATAAATAACAACAAAATGAAAGAAAAAATAAACAAAATAAAAAAAAAAACAATTATGAAAAACAGAAAAACGACCTAAAAACCGCTTAAAAATTCAAAAAATCTAATGTGATAGAACTTTACTAGATTTCCTGTCTGGACTGTAATCGAACACATATGACAATTCTAAGCCATTCTTGTTGCAAGAAACCATCAATAATCAACTCTCGACGGCCATTATTGAAAAAAAAAATGTAATAATGGCGCGAATTATCACTGATGGCGAGAAGTCAGTAAGTTATGACAAGATTTTCCTGCAGTTATGTCGAGAAAATCGTTACCTACGGCTAAAGTTCGAGTTCAGGAAAAAAAATGACTACTTCCGGGCTGCATGGAAATGATTGGAAAAAACATGAGAGGCAAAAGAAAGAGAAAAAGAAAAAAGAGAAAAAGAAAAAAAGTTAAAAAGAAAAAAAAAAGGAGAAAATGAAGGAACAGTGGGAAGAAGATAAAGAAGGAGGAGGAGAGATTTGGAGAGAAAGAAGAAGAAGAAGAAGAAGAAGAAGAGATTTGGAAAAAGCAGAAGAGAAGAGAGAGAGAGAGAGAGAGAGAGAGAGAGAGAGAAGAGTAAGAAGAAGAAGAAGAAGAAAGAGATATTTGGAAAAAAGCGCGAGAAAAGAAGATTTGGGGAAAAAGCACAAGAGAAAAGAGCGAATGAGCAGGAAGAAGAAGAGAGATCTGGTAAAAAAGAGCAAGAGAAGAGAAGGATTAGGAAGAAGAGAAGAAGAGAGATTTGGAAAAAAGAGCAAGAGAAGACAGAAAAAGAAGAAGAAGAAGAAGAAGAGATTTGGGAAAAAAAGCGCAAGCGAAGAGAGAGTACGATGGGAAGAAGGTAAGAGAGTTGTTGGAATAGATGAGAGATGGATTAGAAGGCCTCGAAGAAAAGGCGAAGGAAAGGAAAGAAGGGAGAGAGAAAGAAAAGGAATAAAAGAAGGAGGCGGGGGATGTGGAGGAGGGAGGTTGAAGTAATGAAGAAAAATCGGATTCAAAGAGAAAATGTTTAAGGAAAGAATTATAAAAAAAAGAAAAAAGGAAAGAGAAACAGGAGAAGAAAGGCATTTGAGAAAAGGAGGAGGAAGTAGAGAAAAAGAGGAAGTAGAAGGTTGTAGAAAAAGTAAGAGGAACATGTAGGAGAGAAGAAAAATGTATTAGGAGGGTGTGTGAAAGAAGAGGTAGTAATTGGAGGAGGATATGAGAAGAAGAAGGAGAGGGAGGAGGAAGTGTGGAAAATAAAAAGGAAGAAAAGGATGTGAGAAAGAAGAACTAGGAAGAGAAAGAATAGTAGTAGTAAGAAGTAGTAGTAGTAGGAAGAGGCTATGGGGAGGAGAATGTTGGGAAAGACGAAGTAAGAGGAGGATATTGGTAACAATCAGTAGTAGTAGGAGGGGGTGGAAAAGAAGGGAAATAGTAGTAGCAGGAAGAGAATGTGGGGAAGTAATAGTAGGAGAATATAGGGAAAACGGAAAAGTAGGAGGAAGCTGTGGAAAAGAAGAAAAGTAGGAAGAGGGTGTAGGAAAGTAGTAGTAGTAGGAGGAGGGGAATATGGAAAGATGTAGTAGTAGGAGGAAGATGTAGAAAAAAGAAAGAAGTAGGCGGCGGATATAGAAAAAAAAGGAAGAAATAGAAGAAAGATGTGGGAAAGAAGTAGGTGGAGGGTGTGGGAAGGAAGCGAAAGTAGGAGGAAGATGAGATGGGGAAGTAGTAGTAGGAGGATATGCGAAAAAAATAGGAGGAAGAGGATAAGCAGGTAGAAAAAAGTGAGGAGAAGTAAGTGTGGAGAGATTGTGTAAAAAGAGGAAGAAGAGGAGAAAGTATGTAGAAACTGGAGAAGGCGTATGTGGTGAGAAAGTAGAAGGAAGAGGAGAAGAATTTAGAAAAAGGGAGGTGCAGGTAGAAAAAGATGTAGTAGGAGGAGAAAGTAGAAAATAGAAAAAAAGAAGCGAAAGATGAGGGCGTAGGAAAGAATAAGAAGAAAAAGAAGGATGAGGAGGTTGACGAAACATATGGGTTGAAGAAAATCGTGGCGGGGGTAGGGGAAAAGGAAGAAGATATGGAAAACCTTAGAGGAGTAAAAAAAGAATGGTGATGATGATAATGATGATAAGGGAGAAGTCGACAATTGAAAAGCAACCACAAGAAAGAAATCTAGATCTGTTTTGATCTAGCTATATGTAAGTCTTCTATTTAGATATATCACTTTTAAAACAACTATCTATACATCTTCTTCATATGTATCTGTCTTCATATTTATCTAGATCTATCTAAGTCTGTTCATATCTATCTATCTATCTCAGTCTGTTTCTATCTGTCAGTCTGTTCATATTTATCTATATCTGTTCATATCTATGTCAGTCTGTTCATATCTATCTATATCTGTTCATATCTATCTATCTATCTATCTCTCTCAGTCTGTTTCTATCTGTCAGTCTGTTCATATCTAAGCCTGTTTCTATCTATCTATATCAGTTCGTATCTATCTTAGTCTCTCATGTTTAATTCATCTATTTTTGATTATTTGTTCTGTCTCACTGTTGAAATCTCTTTTCTCGCGCTTCTCTTTCTAATTCTGTTCGTCTGTACATTTTCATCTATCATAGATTGTTCAAATCTATATATCTATCTCAGGCTTCATTATGCATCATATCTCTCGATTTCAGATCCATCTATGTTAATCTTTCGAACTGACCTATAATATCCTCTCTATATATATATATATATATATATATATATATATAGCACAGTGGATAAAGGCGTTGCTTAGATCCAGTGACAGGACACAAAGAGTGTGAGTTCAATACCCGGTTTAGGCAGTGGAGAACATGGAGAGGGAAAATTAACAGATGACTGATAACTGACATCCATTAGACGTGGAACTAGAACAGTCTACGCCAGCGAGCGAAATAAAGGGTTCAGTTCGACATTCCAACCACCTGAAGAAGGCCGGAGCGTACAACGTTGTAATAAATCTGACGACAATAGTCCGAATAATGTGTGTGTGTGTGTATATATATATATATATATATATTTCTAATGTGCAGCGAGGCACAAGAACCACTCGAGGTAGACAGATACTGAATTAGTTTGTGGTGTGATCAGTATGAGTAAGACGCATTTTATAAGGATATGTGGGAAATATATATATATATATATATATATATATATATATTTAGGCAGCATATTTTCATTCAAGCAAATTTCGTTAATAATTTACACGTTTTATGTCTATTTATTTTAGCTTAATCTTTTTAAGTCCACGAATTAATTTCTTAGTGGTTGTAGAAAATTGATGAGAAAAATTCTAAAATTTTCTTTCAAATAATTTTTATTTTTCCCCCCAAGTATTTTCCATCTCATCAGAGACAATCTTCAGGGGTTTGCATATCTATAAATGTGTTATGCGTTAACATCGTAAATTCAAAATGTTTTTTTTTTTAGCTCTATGCAAGGTGTGTGTGTGTGTATGCATATATGTATTTACCTTTGACATTATTCTTTACAAACAACATCAATAACAACAATACTTCTATCTGCTTCATAATATTTCACACACACAGTATGGACACGTACGAATATGTATATATCGACATATTCTTCTCTTTGTCGTCTTTTCAAAAATTTACATTAGTACATGATCAGAAATGCAGATGCGCCATATTTGTTTTTCACTACATTGCATTTGAAAATATGCACACATCTTTTTTTATATTTTATCGTCATTGACAGTAAAAGCATTTGAATGATGACATTTTTTTTCATTTCCCGCCAACAGGACGTTATTAGTTGGCCATTTTCAATAATATTTTGTCTCTCGCTTCCTTCTTGGTTTATTTGTCAATTATTTTTTTTATCGTATTTTAAAAAAAAAAATCTTTTCTTCTTTTGCGGCTGTACTTAAAGTTTCGAACTTACTGAAAAGCCAGATTTTGTCTCCTACGTGAACTCTTTTTCCTTCCTTTTTTTTTTTAAGCTAAAACTTAGCATTTTTTTTTCTTTTTCTTTTGTTTTAAAACGTCTCTTGATATTTTAAGCGTAACCCAAATTTTAACTTCTTCACATCCCTGTGTCTCTCCCATTTTGTCTCTCTCTAATCTCGGCTACAGCTCAGCGCGGTTAGATATACGAAAAGTTGGTGTTTCTCTCTGTTCAATTTTTCTGTTAGATCTTCTTTTCCTTTTTTTGCTTATTTCTTGCAAAAATATTTCGTCCCATTTTTAACATTTTATTTCAACACTTGTTTCGTTCTTTTTAACTATTTGCATTGTTGCAGACATATTTCTTCTCAAAGGAAACGTTTTTTTTGTTATTATGAATTTTCACTTTTTCATTTATATATTTATTCAATCAATAAATCTTTCTTGGCTTTCTTTTTTGTTTACATTTAGTCAGAGTTTATGTTGACAGTTGGTGTCTCCATCTTTTTCTTAGTTTTCACTTCCAAACCTCTTTGTATTAAGATTTCTTAGGCTTCCGTTTACTTTCTTTCTTTGTCTTAATTCCTTTTGTTTTTCTTTTCGATTTTCTCTTCATCTTCTCTATTTTTTCTGCCGCGATTCTTACCATTTTCTTTATGATTTTTATCTTTTTCATTCTTTCTTTTTTCACCATTTCTTTTCGACATTACTTTCTTTCTTTCCCTTCTTTCTTTATCTTAATTGCTTTTCTTTTTGGACTTCCCCTTTTCTTTCTTTCTTTTTTGCGTTAATGCTTTTTGACCTTTCTTCTTCCTTTTTGCTTTCCTCCTCCCTTTTCTTTCCGACCTTCTCTTATTTTTCTTTGCCTTAATGACTTTTCTTTTCACCTTGCCTTCTTTCATTCTTTTTCATTCTTTGCCTTAATTCTTTTTCCTTTTCACCTTGCCTTCTTTCATTCTTTTTCATTCTTTTTCATTCTTTTTTCCTTTTAATTCTTTTTCATTCTTTTTCATTCTTTGCCTTAATTCTTTTCATTTTCATTCTTTTTTCATTCTTTTTTCATTCTTTGCCTTAATTCTTTTTTTTTTCACCTTGCCTTTTTCATTTTTTTTTCATTCTTTTGCTTTTAATTCTTTTTCATTTTCATTCTTTTTTTTTTTTTCATTCTTTGCCTTAATTCTTTTTTTTTTTCACCTTTTTCATTCTTTTTCATTCTTTTGCCTTAATTCTTTTCTTTTCACCTTGCCTTCTTTCATTCTTTTTCATTCTTTGCCTTAATTCTTTTTCCTTTTTTCCTTTTTCATTTTCTTTTTTCATTCTTTGCCTTAATTCTTTTTCATTCTTTTTTTTCATTCTTTTGCCTTAATTCTTTTTTAATTCTTTTCCTTTTCATTTTTGCCTTCTTTCATTCTTTTTCATTCTTTGCCTTAATTCTTTTTCATTTTCACCTTGCCTTCTTTCATTCTTTTTCATTCTTTGCCTTAATTCTTTTTCCTTTTCACCTTGCCTTCTTTCATTCTTTTTCATTCTTTGCCTTAATTCTTTTTCATTTTCACCTTGCCTTCTTTCATTCTTTTTCATTCTTTGCCTTTTTTTTCCTTTTCTTGCCATCTTTCATTCTTTTAATTCTTTTGCCTTTTCTTTTTTCTTTTTTTTGCCTTCTTTCATTCTTTTCATTCTTTTTAATTCTTTTTCCTTTTCACCTTGCCTTCTTTCATTCTTTTTTCATTCTTTTTTAATTTTTTTTCCTTTTTTGCCTTCTTTTCATTCTTTTTCATTCTTTGCCTTAATTCCTTTTCATTTTACTTTGCCTTCTTTCATTCTTTTTCCTTTTTGTCTTAATTCTTTTTTTTTTCCAGCTTCCTTCTTTCTTTTTTCTTTTTTTTCTTTGTCTCATTTCATTTTTTCATTTAATTATTTTCTTTCTTTGCATTAATTTCTTTTCTTTTTCACCTTTCATTCTTTTTTCTTTCTTTTTATCTTTTCTTATTTTGCCACCTTTCTTTTTTTCATTCATTTCTTTCTTTTATTCTTTTTTTTTCATTCTATCTTTTTCCTTTAATTCATTTTATTCTTTCTCTATCTTTACCTTAATTCCTTTTCATTCTTTTTCTTTCTTTGCCTTAATTCCATTACTTTTTCTTTTCCAACTTTCCTTCTTTCTTTTCATTCTTTTTCCTTCTTTGCCTTAATTTCTTTACTTCTTCTTTTCCAACTTTTCTTCTTTCTTTTCATTCTTTTACTTCTTTGCCTTAATTCCTTTACTTTTTCAACTTGCATTCTTTCTTTTCATTCTTTTTCCTTTTTTGCCTTAATTCCTTTACTTTTTCTTTTCCATCTTTCCTTCTTTCTTTTCATTCTTTTTTTTTTCCTTAATTCCTTTACTTTTTTTTTTCCATCCTGTCTTTTTTCTTTTCATTATTTTCTTTCTTTGCCTTAAATATTTTTGTTTTTCGTTTCCACTTTGCCTTTGGTCTTTACAGTTTTTTTCATTCTTTGCCATAATTCCTTTTCTTTTTCAACTTGCATTCTTTTTATTGATTTTCTTCCTGTGTCTTAATTTCTGTTCTTTTTCATTTTCCCCTTGCCTTCTTTTCATTATTTTTCCTTCTTTGTCTTACTTCCTTTTCTTTTTCGCTTCAACCTTGTCTTCTTTCTTTTCATTCTTTCTCTATCTTTATCTTAATTTCTTTTCTTCCTCTCCTCCTTTCTTTTCATTCTTTCATTGCCTTAGTTAATTTTTTTCACCTTATTTTCATTCTTTTTCTTTCTTTGTCTTAATTGCTTTTCTTTTCCATCTTTCCTTCTTTCTTTTCATACTTTATCTGTCTTTGCCTTAATTAATCTTTTTCTTTTGTAACTCGCCTTCTTTTTTTATCATTCTTTTACTTACTTCTTTTTCTTTTTAATTTACACCTTGCCTTCTTTTTATTATCTTTATTTCTTTGCTTTAATTCCTTTTCTTTTTCGTTTTTATCTTGCCTTCTTTCTTTTCATTCATTTTCTTTCTTTACCTTAATTCTTCTTCTTTTTCACCTAGCTTTCTTTCTTTTCATTCTATTTATTTCTTTGCTTTAATTCTATTTCTTTTTAATTTCGTGCTTTCGTTCTTAACCTTCCGTTTCTTTCTCTGTCTTAATTCCATTTTTCTTTTCGACCTCGCTTTATTTCTCTTCGGCTTCCTTCTTTGCTTTAATTCCTTTTCTTTTTCTTTCCCATCTTGCCTTCTATCATTTCATTCTTTTTCGGTCTTTGCCTTAATTGCTTTTCTTTTCGACCTTAGAAAAGAATGAAAAGAAAGAAACTATCTTAATTAATCAACTTTCTTTTTCACCTTGCTTTCTTTCTTTTTATTCTTTTTCTTTCCTTGACTAAATCCTTTTCTTTTCAACTTTGCCTTCTTTCTTTGCATTATTTTTCTTTGTCTTAATTCCTTTTTCACCATTCATTTCATTCTTTTTCGCCATGCCTTATTTCTTTTTTGACTGAATTATTTTTCTTTTCGATCTTTCCTTCCTCCTTGCCCTTTTTTTTTCATTCTTTGCCTTAATTTATTTTTGTCTTCTTTTCGACCTCGCCTTCTTCCTTCCCTTTTTCATTCTGTACCTTAATTCCTTTTATTTTTTTGTTTTTTTCTTTTCATTCTATTTCCTTCTTAGCCTTCATTACTTTTCTTTTTCTTTTCGACCTTGCCTTCTTCCTTCCTCTTCATTTTCTGCCATAATTCCTTTTCAACTTTTATACTTTCTCTTTCTTAGCCTTAATACCTTTTTCTGTTCGACCTCGCATTCTTTCTTTTATTTTTCCTTCTTTGCCTTAATTCCTTTTTTTTTATTTGCCTTCTTTCTTTGCCTTTTTTTCCTTCTTTTTTTGACCTTTTTTTGCCTTCTTTCTTTCCCTTCTTTGCCTTTTCCTTTTTTTTTTTCGGCCTTGCTTCTTCTTTCTTTCTTTTTTTTTTTCTTTGCCTTAATTCCTTTTTTTTCGGCCTTGCCTTCTTTCTTTCTTTTATTTTTCCTTCTTTGCCTTAATTCCTTTTTTTTCGACCTTGCCTTCTTTCTTTCCCTTCTTTTTCCTTCTTTGCCTTAATTCCTTTTTTTTCGACCTTGCCTTCTTTCTTTCCCTTCTTTGCCTTAATTCTTTTTCTTTCCAACATTTCCGTTCTTAGTTTCACTCATTCATTTTTCATTTCCTATCTACATTTCTATTTCTTCGTTTTAGTTCTTTCCTTCCATTTATTTAATTCCTACGTTTCCTTTCTTTCTTTTTATTCCTCAGCATTTTCTTTCATTCTCAACACAGAATCCCGCTTTTTTTTTAAAACTCTCCATATTTCTTTCGCTTAATTCCTTCTTGACATTCTCTTTCTTCTTCAGCTGATTTCTTTCTCGACATATTTTCTTTCTATTAGGTTGGTGCAAAAATAATGTCGTTTTTTGACGTTCAACTTAACGTAAAAAAAACGACATTATTTTTGCACCAACCTAATATATTTATTTTCCTCTATTACATATCTTCCAGTCTTTTTCTTCCTTCCTTCTGTCCCACCTTTCTTTCTTTTTCTTTCTTTTCTTTCTCTCTCTTATTCAACATCACTTTTCCGCAAGTCATTTTCTTTCTTTACAACTTATTTTACTTTGTCCCTTTTTCATCATTTTCTGACTTATGGCCCCCAACACATTGAAACATCAGTTCTTGCACAATCTCCGAAGTTAAACACGTCGATCCCGGTCAGTACTCAGGTGGGTAACCACTTAAGAATGTCAGGTGTTGTAAAGTTGGATGTGCGGACGGTGTAATTTTATAAACAGTTCGGAATTGTTAATCTGTGAGCCGAGTCCCAATACCAGTCGGATCTGTTATATTCACATACGTGCAAATACCCTTGGCAAAAGTATGAATCCATCTTTTCTACCCCACCTCCGGATATTGGTTAATTAGTAGAAATTGTATCAGTAAATCATTATTATCTCAAAAAAAAAAAAAAAAAAAAAAAAAAAAAATTACAATCTGTTACATAACTTACATATGAGCACTAATGGGTATGTCCTAATCCTCATAAATACGTTGGACACTTTTGTAAGTTGGGCTAATATGCTGTCTAAGGTGGCAGCGTGAGAAGCTCTTGTCGTGTCGAACTCTCTGCCTTCGGGCTGAGAGGAACCGGGACGGGGCTATGCCGAAAGGCAGAGACTCGTTTGGGGTGGTAGACAGATACCCGATCCCGCGTATGCGGGATCTACGAGCAATATCATAATATGGTGTCTAAGTAGTCCACCACTAGCAGTGGTTTACCTACTTCACGCCGCTGGCGAGTATTGGATTTTGTTGAAGTTATAAAGATTACCATTTCATTTCCAACCTTCATTTTGGTTATTCCTCATTCATTAACCATTTCTAGGTTACAAAACTATCTATCTCAGTCTGTCCATATCTATCTGTTATATACCGTATCTATGAACATTAATGGGTATGTCTAATCCTCATAAATACGTTAGACACTATTGTAAATGCGAGTAATATACTAAATAATCCACTACTAGCAGTGGTTTACCTACTTCATACCGCTAGCGAGTATTGTATTTTGTGGATGTTATAAACACAATCTAAAAGTATATTCTGGCTTTAAATAACCTGCAAAAGGTTGATAAGCTATAAAAAACAAATCACTCACTTAGCATTTTCTACCTCAAAACATTTCTTCCTTACTCCTTTCGTTGTCAACCTCTGAATTTTTTAAAATTCTTTTTTAATAAAGTGCCGAATCTAGATGCGTCGTCAGTGTTGTTGCTCCCATGTCACTAGAAGTTTCGGGTCTAAATAAACAACAGACTTCTTCGATGGGCGACCCGACCGAATATGATCAGTATTCGGCCCGCACCTACAACAAAAATTTGCCACTAGCTTTAAGACGTGGATTATATAAGTTGCCCCAGTAGACAACAACCAATCAAGATTTCACTTGAGTTATTCGAAGTTATAGATTAGCTATGCATGGTTGTATTGATCTTCCGACATGCGGCCAAGAATTGGTGGTTTTTTTTTTTGGGGGGGGGAAATAGAAGAAAACAAACCAATAAATACACACACACACACACACACACATATATATATATATATATACACATAAATATCAAAACAAAAAAAAACTCCAAAAAACAAACAAGAAAACAAAAAAAACTATTTATTATATTGACCTGTCTTGCAACTTGTTCTTTCTCTACCTCCCCTTTTAACTTCTATAAAATAACTTATTTGTTTGGTCTTTCTTTTCTTTTTACTTTTTTTTATTCTTATTTTCTTTTCTTTTCTTTTCTAAACTACACTTAATAAAACGTTAAAACTTTTTATCAACTCTTTTTCACCATTCTAAACCTCTCATTATATTTTTATTTCATTCTTCCATTACGTTTTATTCCTTTTTCTCAACATTTCTATCTTCAATATTTTTCTTCCTTAACACATTTTCCTTCTGTTCGATTTAAGTCTTGAGTTCACTTTAGTTCATCACTTTCTTTTCAATATTTTCTTTCATAATTCTTTTCCTTTTTAACACGTTTTCTTTCTTTCCTTTTCTATCTCACTCGTTCTTTCGTATTCCTTCTGTTGTGGAGTAGTTTTTCATAGTGGAGGCTTGTATTTCAAGAAGTCGTCCTAAATTAGGTTCAACGTACAAAACGTTAGGAACTTGAAAATAAGAGTTGACACAGCAATCTAGTTGTGATGGTTGATACTTCAATGTCCGATATCGTCTGACTACCTCAACACCACTGAGCCAAACTGGCGACCGCCACCACCACTTATTACTTATCTGTGGGAGAGTCCATTACAATAGAATAGGCATATGGCATGACACCTTTCTGTTTTCCTCAACATTTTCGTTTTTCGATATTTTTCACTTCTTTACAACATTTTCTTTCTTTCTTGCTAATTAACTTTTTGTATGTCACCTCTTTTCTTTCATTTTTCTTTTTCACCATTTTCTTTCTTTCGCAACATGGCTTATCTTTTATTTGTCGCGTTTTCTTTCTTTCTTTCTTTTTGAACACATTTTTCTTTTTTTTTTCCTGAACAATTTAAAAAACAATCGATTACTTCATTCATTCTTTTTGTATTTTAAGCGGTTATTAGGTTCATTAATGAAGGCTGTGCAATGTATTTACTCATTCACCATTTTTCATTCTTTTTCCTTCACGTTGAATTCCTTCTCTGCGCATTCACCTTTTTTTGTTTGCTATTC